AATCGGATATAATTTTATCGAACTAATTTTTTAATAAGTAATAATAATAATAAGAAAATAGAAAGGCGTATTAACAAGGAGTGAATAAGTAGAAGAATCAAAAAAGAAGATAAGAAAAAGTCAACAGTGGTAATGTGCCAGAGGCGCAAGGGTGTTGAGGTGAATATGTAAAGATTGTCAGAAAAAGCTGGCCAAGCTGATTTACCAGTTAGAAAATATTTATAATATTGTATTATTGAAAGTTTCGTTTTTCAGGCCAAAATTGGCTGACCGTCTTCGAGATTTAAAAGAACTAAACTCGAAATATTCAAAACTGGCAAAGAATTTGACTCACCAGGGGAAAACAATGGCTGCATCGATCCTGGTTTGGTAGTTTAGCACCAAAACCTGCGGCCATAAATAATTTTGTCTGATTGTAGTGTTGGCAGATTTCAACTACGGCACTAATTGCAATCTGATATTCGTTCGGATGCTCGATCCCGATGAAGTGTAGTGATGATGGATCAGTAACACGACCGTTCGATGCCGTCATATCGATAGCAACGAAGAAATCCAGCTGCGTCCTAAAGGGTTCCGGAATCTTATGCAATTACAATAGGGATTTCAGGATACCGGCAAGGATGTTTCTCTAATTAGAGGTTTGATATTCTGAAAAGTCCCGGAGTGGTACATGTTTAGTCTTAGTACCTACAGAAAATCTATTTGTTGATTCTCCAAAAAGAGAGTTCTAATTTCTCCGTCCTTATTTCTTTTCCTTGAGCAAATCGATATACAATGTAATAACTCTGGAAACTCGACTTCTAAACAAATTTTTTCGCAAAAAACTCTATTGCATTCAAAAAATTGGTACGATTTCCCTCTTTCATATTTGCTCAGTTAATGAGGATAACCAGGCTAAAACGAACAGGGCGCGAAAGTATCACAAACTAAACAAAAAACGTCTAAATGAGTCAAAACTCAAAAAAAAACTTTAAGTAGAAAAGCACGAAAAAAATTTAGCTGTTGAATAAACTTTTTCCGGAATAAGCACAACTTACCCACCAGCGATGTAATCAATGAACGAGTTCTCGTGAAAAACGGAGACGTTGGCAAATAACAGGCGACCTGATTCCTTGTATTTAGTGCCTTTCTTATCAAGCTTCTTCTCGTTGATTAGCTGTAAAAGTGTCTGTGATAATTCTGCTTTATAATCGAAACTGAAATAGATGTAGAGGATTTGCTTTGACCAATGTTTTATCGCATTTTGTCAGTTTGTTGATTTTCCTGACGTTTGTGCATGAGACGTAAACATGCAATTAGAAATGCAACGCTGAATTTGACAATTGCTGTGGGTATCCCATATTAATTGTGTTTCTGAATAATTCTTAAATTCCCACTGCATCTGGGCCAGATCTTCGATCCTATGTTGCATAGCTTCAACTAAATTTACAGCCAGCTCGATGTAAGTGTGGATCATTTCTTGAGCTCAAATGGCTATTTTTATTCTTGCAAGTTTGATGGACGAAACGTTTGTTTGCCCTGATTGCGGCCGTGGACGTCGCGCGCTAGTGAGTGGTAAAAAATATTTAAAAACAAACGAGGGTCACGACGGTCGTTTATGAAGTTGTTATGAAATCCAGTACTACTAGTATTACCAGGAAGCGCTCATAAGCATTGCACAGAAAAAAATATCAGAATTAAAAACTTTCATGAGAAATTTTCATTAAAAAAATGTAAAAAAAATCACAGGCAGTTCGACGTCTTCATTGCTCAATAGCTTGTCAAGCGTTGTTTCACACGAACCAATATAATCGTGGCTGATACAAAGTGAAATATTTATCACATCAACT